CCTCAATCTTTTTTTTTTATAATCAGTCTTCTTTCTTTTACTCCAGAATTCTCTTATTTATTTGCTTACTTCTTCAGTCTCCATTCTTTGTCTTTTACCTAAAAAATATCCTATTTATATGTTTACTTCAATCGCTTCCTATTTATGACTTTCATTTCAAAGACTTCCCACTTATGGTTATATTCCATTCATCTTTTTTTGAATTTCATTCACATTTCATTTATTTTGTTATTATATTTTATCCTCAGTCACCTCTCACTTATTTCTCTACTTCAATCACCACACATTTATTCCCTTGACTTCAATTACCTCGCATTTAATTCCTTCTTTCAATCATTTCCCTCATTTTATTGTCTTACTTCAATCTCCCACCATTTCTATCCATGTCCCTATTACTCCTTCCATGATCCAAACCTCACTCCTCCCTTCACCCCCCCCCCCCCAATTAACTGCCATATTTCTTTCCCTCCCCATTACTTCTCTCACCCCAACCCTAACTTAACTCCACCTTACCTTTCCCTCTTATTCCTCTCAACCAACCCCCCAACCTCTCACTCCATCTTGCCTATCCCTCCTCCTTATCCCTCTATTTCTTTCTTTTCGAGTTTATCCCTCCTACCCTCACTTCACCCCTTCCTTTCCCGTTCTCCTTTATCCCTACACTTTCTTCCCTTTCCCTTTATCTTTCCAACCCAAACTCCCAACTTCACTCAACCTTTCCTTTCCCTCCCTCCCCTACCCTTTATCCCTCCACTTTCCTTCCCCTCTCCTTCTCGACCCAAACTCCCTCTCACTCCCCCTTCCCCTTCCCTCCATCCCCTACCCTTTATCCCTCCACTTCCTTATACCCCCTTTATCCCTCCACTTCCTTATACCCCCTTTATCCCTCCACTATCCCACCCCATCCCTCCACTTCCCCCCCCCTTTAACTTCTTCCCCCTCCCCTTTATTCCTCTCGCCCCCCTCTCACTCCCCTTCCCCTCCCGAAGGTGGATGCTCTACGTGGCCTGGCTGGTCGCCATCCTGTCCATCGGCGCCGCCGGCGGGTTCTTCACCTTCGCGTACGGGGTGACCTTCGGGAGGAGAGGACGGCCAAGTGGCTCAGCGCCCTCTTCGTCTCCTTCTTCACCTCCGTCTTGCTCACTCAGCCTATCAAGGTGGGTGGGATGGGTAGGGGGGAAGGTGGGGGGGGTTTTGAGGGGGAGTGTTGTTTTGGGTGTGTGTGGAGGGAGGGGGGTTGGGATTATGTGTGTGTTATTATGTATGTATTATGCATGTATATCTATGTATGTATATATGCATATGTATGTATGGATGTATGGATGTATGGATGTATGGATGTATGTATGTATATATGTATATATGTATCTATAAAACTGCATGCACCGCTATGCACAATTTGTATACATTCATGTCTAATGTCTGCATATAACCATACATTTAAGTCACGTCAAGTACGTCATGCTTTATCACTCTTGACAGGTGTTCATCATGGCCATGATCTTCAGCGCCATCTGCAAGTCGCCCAACGAGGAGGAGGACGACGCAGAGAACGACGAGAGGGACCCCGAGCTCGGAGACGACGAGGAATGGATGCACGCGCTGGGGACAAGTAGTTCTTTGTGTGGTTCTTGGAGGGTGGGGGTCGGGGAGAGCTAGGGCGGGGTTTGTCATGGTTATCTTTATCATATTATTTACCTGTACGCGATTTTCTATTCTTGTGTATTTTATACCTCTCCTTTCCCTCCTTTTCTTCATCCATGATATAACGATTCCCCTCGAACTCCCTCCTCTCCCCCTTCCAAACAAACGACCCAACCCTATAAATTGAGCGAAAAATCAAAGGAAATCAAACAGACCTTCCTCACCCCTTCCTCCACCTTCATAAAAAATCAACTTAATTCGAATAAAACCTTCCTCTTCACTTCCCTCCCTGCCCCTCCAATCCCTACAAGAAAGCTGCCCTCCAACCCACACAAGAAAGACCAATTTAAGACCTTCCTCTTCACTTCCCTCCCTGCCCTTCCAATCCCTACAAGAAAGACCAACTGACATAAAACCCTTTCACTTCCCTCCTGCCTTCCAATCCCTACAAGAAAGACCAACTGACATAAAACCTTCCTCTTCACTTCCCTCCCTGCCCTCCACCCTTACAAGAAAGACCAACTGACATAAAACCTTCCTCTTCACTTCCCTCCCTCCAATCCCTACAAGAAAGACCAACTTGAAACCTTCCTCACCGCTCCCCTTCCTGCCCTCCAACCCACACAAGAAAGACCAATTTAAGACCTTCCTCTTCACTTCCCTCCCTGCCCCTCAACCCTTACAAGAAAGACCAACTTGAAACCTCCTTCGCCCCTCCAACCCTTACAAGAAAGACCAACCTGAAATCTTGCTCATCACCTTCCTTCCGCCCACAGAGGAACGAGTGAAGAAAAAAGCCGAATACAAACCCGTGGACGAGAAGCAGCTGAAGGCGGCGAGGGTCCAGCGCAAGAAGGAGATCAAGATGTGGGACATCATCTACGACATCGGCGCCTACTCCTTCTTCATCTGGATCGTCCTCATCCTCAGCCACGGGAACAGGGACCCCAACTCCTTCCTCATGACGGAGGAACTGACCAACAACTTCGTCTTGGCTTCGCTCGAACCGGACGATCCGCAAGTCAGCCTGTATTCTGTGAGTTGGTGGGGTGGCTTGGGCTTGGTGTTGCCTTTTGGTTTTTGTTTTGTCTCGGTGCGCTTTCTTACGGAATAAAGAAAAGGGAAGAGGAGGGTAGGGGTGAGGGTGAGGGTGAGAGGAGAGGAGGGGAAAGAGAGAGGAGAGGGAAAAAATGGGGAGGGAGGGAGAGGGAGAGGGAAAAAGAGAGGGAAAGGGAAAAATGGGGAGGGGAGAGGTATAGAAAAAAAAGTAAGAAAGGAGAAGAAGCAGAAAAAAAAGAATGTGCAATATTACTCACCTCCCATTTCGCTTTGACTCCAGGTCCAGAACTGTTCGTACTTCTACCACTGGCTGAAGGTCGTGTTCCTGGAGGAGATCCTCATGAACGCCAACTACCACGGCAGACTGGAGCCCAAACACGACAACACCAAGATGCTCAATGACCGCGTTAACCTGTTGCTGGGTTACGCCACGCTCAGACAAGTGCGCATTGAAGAAAGTGAGTCGGAAAATATACTCGTATTTAAGTGGTATACTTTGGTGAATCATGGGGTGAGTTGCGTGTGTGTGTGTGTGTGTGTGTGTGTGTGTGTGTGTGTGTGTGTGTGTGTGTGTGTGTGTGTGTGTGTGTGTGGTGTGTTGTGTGTGTGTGTGTGTGTGTGTTTGTGAGTGAGTGAGTGAGTGAGTGAGTGAGTGAGTGATGGTGTGGGGGGGAGGTGTATCGATGTATGTACGTACATATATACATATATATGTATATATGAAAGTACATACAGACCGAAATGGAATAAAAGAATGCAAAATAAACCTCCCATCATCAATCAGACACTCACAAGAGGCCCCCAGAAAGCCACTTAAGCTCCTACCATCCCGTCTCCTCCTCCCCCAGAGACCTGCAAAGTCCCCAAGCAGATCCGCAGCGTGACCAACGAGTGCCGAGACAAGTCCTCCGTCGTGGACGAGGAGAAGAGGGACTTCGACGTCGGGTGGAGGCCCTTGCCGGAGAAGAAGAGGCCGCAGGAGGAGTACAAGTATCGCGGTGCCTTGGAGCTCGATGGGGTTCCCTTCTGGGGGTCGCTGGACGTCTACGGGGCCGGGGGGTGAGGTCTTGTCTGTGGTGGGGGGTTGGGGTGGGGGTGAGGGGTTGGGTCTGTTTGGGTGCTGAGTTTTGGATGTTAGGGGGTTCTTTTCTGTTTTTTTTTTTCTTTTTCTTCTTTTTTTCATCTAAAAAGGTAGCGAGGAAAACCTCAAAGCTGACAGAACAGATTTTCTTTCTTTCTCTTCTTTCTTTCGCTCCTCTCTCTCTCTCTCTCTCTCTCTCTCTCTCTCTCTCTCTCTCTCTCTCTCTCTCTCTCTCTCTCTCTTCTCTCTCTCTCTCTCTCTCTCTCTCTCTCTCTCTCTCTCTCTCTCTCTCTCTCTCCCTCCCTCCCCTCCCTCCCTCCCTCTCCCCTCTCCTCCCTCCCTCCCTCTCCCTCCCTCCCTCCCTCCCTCTCCCTCTTCCTCCCTCCCTCCCTCTCCCTCTTCCTCCCTCTCCCTCCTCCCTCTCCCTCTCTCCCTCCCTCCTCTCCCCTCCCTCTCTCCTCCCTCTCCCCTCTCTCTCCCTCCTCCTCCTCCTCTGCAGATACGTCGTCAAGCTATCTCCCCCTCCCTCTCTCTCCCTCTCCCCCTCTCTCTCACCTCCTCCTCCTCCTCTTCTTCAGATACGTCGTCAAGCTGAAAGGCAGCAAGGAAAGCCTCAAGGCCAAGATCGAGCAGCTGGAGACGGACGGCTGGATGGACGAGAGAACGAGGGCCGTCTTCGTCGAGTTTTCCCTGTACAACGCCCAGGTCAACCTCTTCGCCGCCTGCAGGATCGTCATGGAGCAAGGGCCTGAGGGTGAGGGGGCAGCAGGGGGGCCTCAGGAACCGTTTGGTTCGGTTGTTGATTTTGGGGGGCCTCAGGAACCCTTTGTTTGGTTCGGTTGTTGATTTTGGGGGGCCTCAGGAACCCTTTGTTTGGTTCGGTTGTTGATTTTTTGTTTGTTTGGGGTATTTACGCTTATTCTGTCTGAGGAAGTGGGGTGTCTGGTTATTTGACGGGGATTTAGCTTGTTTGTGATTTAATCTTTCTTCGGCTGTGATGTATCTACTTGCTTATCTACTGTTTATTTTCCTTATTTACTATTTATTTTTTCTTTATCTGTAATATATGTATTTGTTTATCAATCATTCATTTATCATATTTTCTATTTACTCTTCCTTCGTCTGCAATATACCTGCTTGCTTATCTACCGTTAACTTCCCTTATTGACTATTCTTCATTTATCTGCAATTTACCTACTTGCTTATCCACCATCTATTTATCTTATATACTCTGTGTTCTTCCTTTATCTGAAATTTATCTACTTGCTTGTCTTCCATCCATTTATCATATTTACAATATACGTTTTCCTTTATCTGCAATTCAAATTACCTAAATCCAATTCATGTTCGACTCTCCCTCCTCCTTCCCTCTTCCCCCCCCCCCCCCTCGCCAGGCGCCCTCCACCCCTTCGTCAAATTCGACCCCATCAAGCTCCTCCGGTACAGCGAGGGCTTCGGTCTCTTCGTCATGATCTGCGAGGGCGTCTTCATCCTCTTCATCGTCTACTACACCTACTGCGAGCTGAAGGGGATGTGCAGGGACAAGCGGAAGTACTGGGACGAGCCTTGGAACTACCTGGAGCTGGTGGTGGTTGGCCTTGGCTGGAGCGCCATCGCCTTTTATGGGATACGGTGAGTGGGTGTGTTGAGGGGGCTTTTCTCTCGTTTGGGGTTGGCTGTTTGTCTGTGCTTTCGGTCTGATTTTTGTTCGGGTTTCTTTCTCTGTCTCCGTTTCTGCCCCTTTCGACAGTTTTCTTTGTCCCTCTCTTTCTCTCCCACCTTTGCCTCCCTTCCCTCTTCTGTTCCATTTCTTCACTCCCCTCCAATCCCCCATCCCTTCTCCTTCCTTCTCCCTCTCTCCTCCTTTCTTCTTCCTCCCTACTCCTTCTTTCACCTTCCAATCCTCCCCCTTCTCCCCCTCCCAGCCTTCTCGCTCCCTCCTTCCTACCTTCATCCCCTCCCTCCACCTCCACCCGCCCCCTTCTCCATTCCCTCGTCCTACCTTCACCTTCTCCCTCCTCCTCCTTCTCCCTCCTCCTACTACCTTCATCCCCTCCCTCCATCTCCACCCGCCCCTTCCCCATTCCCTCCTCCTACCTTCACCTTCTCCCTCCTCCTTCCTTCTCCCTCCCTCCTCCTACCTTCACCCCCTCCCTCCACCTCCACCCGCCCCTTCCCCATTCCCCCTCCTACCTTCACCTTCTCCCTCCTCCTTCCTTCTCCCTCCCTCCTCCTACCTTCATCCCCTCCCTCCACCTCCACCCGCCCCTTCTCCATTCCCTCCTCCTACCTTCACCTTCTCCCTCCTCCTTCCTTCTCCCCCCTCCTACTACCTTCATCCCCTCCCTCCATCTCCACCCGCCCCTTCCCCATTCCCTCCTCCTACCTTCACCTTCTCCCTCCTCCTTCCCTCCCTCCCTCCTCCTACCTTCACCCCTCCCTCCACCTCCACCCGCCCCTTCCCCATTCCCCCCTCCTACCTTCACCTTCTCCCTCCTCCTTCCTTCTCCCTCCTCCTTCCTTCTCCCTCCCCACCTCCACCCATCCCTTCCCCATTCCCACCTCCGCCTTCACCCCCTCCTCTCCCTCCCCCAGAACCGTGCTGGGCGTCACCATCGTCAACAAATTCAAGGAGACGGACGGCAGCGGTTACATCAAGCTGGAGTACGCAGCTTCCGTCGACGAGATCTTCCTCTACATCGTCAGCTTCTTGGTGTTCTTCTCGACGCTCAAGTTCATCAAGCTGCTCAAGTTCAACAAGCGGATGGGACTCCTGACGTCGACGCTGAAGCAGTGCGCGTCCGACCTCTCGGGGTTCATGATCGCCTTCTTGTTGGTGAGTTGTGTGTGGGGGGGGTGTAGAGGGGTGTGTGTGTGGGGGGGTGTGTTGGTGTGTGTGTGTGTGTGTGTGTGTGTGTGTGTGTGTGTGTGTGTGTGTGTGTGTGTGTGTGTGTGTGTGTGTGTGTGTGTGTGTGTGTGTGTGTGTGTGTCTTTGCTCATGTGTGCTTTGATTTTTCTCTCTCCCACCAACACCCTGATCTCTCACCCTTGCACTTTCCTCGCCCATCATCGTCACTTTCCCCTCTTCATTATCAGCTATGCTCTCTTTCTCCTCCCTTTTCCCACGTTCCATTAACTATAGATTTTACACCTATCCCTATCTGAACGAAATTCACCGCAGCAGACACAGACAATCGTAAGAGAACAAATAACTCCACGCAAGTAGAAATGTTTCTATAAAAATAAAAACAATAAAAAACATCTTCATCCGTACACATTGTCTATTATTTGTATATATATAATAGAAATAGGTTGTACATATATAATAAAGAAATAAAGAAATGGGACACCACGCAGGTAGAAATGTAATTGAAAATACCAACTTTCACATTACATATAATCCTTTTGAGAATATTAACCCCGTCTCTTGGTTTCCCACAGTCCTTCCTGGCGTTCGCGCAGCTCTTCTACCTGATGCACAACGGCAACCATATGGACTTCAATAATTTCGTGTCCGCTATTGAGGCTACGTTCGCGGCGATGCTAGGTAACGAAGGCGTGAACAAATCATGCGTACATACATGGATATATACGGTGTACATACATGATAGCATGGATATATATACGTATATAAATACATACATACATAATAGCATAGATATATATATGTATATAAATACATGCATACATAATAGCATAGATATATATATACGTATATAAATACATACATACATAATAGCATAGATATATATACGTATATATATACATACATACATAAATACATACATGCATACATGAATGCGTATATACATATATTTACATGTATTTACACGTATACGTATGTTCTCATTTATGCTCAAGACATTGATAAAGTAGCATCGCTTTTTCACATTACTTTGCTTTCTTCGATGTCCTCTCCCCTTTTCCCTCGATTTCCCCCGACCGTTTTGTCTTTCTCCACTCTGCACTCCCTTCTACACCCTCCCCCTCCCTTTCCTTATTCTCTCCCTTCCCCTCCCTTTCCTCACTCTCTCCCTCCCTTCCCTTTCCCCACTCCCTCTCTTCCCCTCCCTTTCCCCACTTCCTCCCTACCCTTCCCTTTCGTCACTCTCCCTCCCCCCTCCCTTTCCTCACTCTCTCTCCCTCCCCCCCTGCAGGTAGCTTCGACTACGAGGGGATGGTGAACTCGTCCCCAAAGCTGGGTCCGATCACCTTCTTCGTCTTCGCCTTCTTCAACAGCATCATCATGATCAACTTGCTTCTTACTCTCGTCATCAGGAGCTTCGAAGAGGTAGGTGAAAGGAGGGGCATGGGGAAGGGGAAGGGTAGGGGGAAGCGGGAGGGATTGTAGGGTGTGGCGTTGAGGGGGATGGGGAGGGGGATGAGAGAAGAGGAGAGGGAAAGTGGGATAGGGGAGGAAGGAAGGGAGAACGGGGAAGAGGATAAGGGACAAAGAGAGAATGGGAGAGGGGTAAGTAGAAAGGAGATGGAGAGAGGGGAGGAGGAAAGGGGATTGGGAAAGGGGTATGGGGAAAATGGCAAAGAAAAAGAGGGAATGGGAAGTAGAGAGAAGCAAAGGGAAAAAGAGAGAGGGGAAGGGGAAAGGGGAGGTGGGGACAAGAAAGAGCGATCTAGTTGGCAGAGGAAAGAGGATTGAAAGAGGGAGAGAAGGAAAACGGGAGATTTAAAACAATATATATATATATATATATATATATTATATATATATATATATATATATATATATATATATATATATATAATATATATATATGAAAGACACATAGAATGAATAAGCGGGTTTTGGAGCATCAAGAACGAGGTAGAGATTCCCCTTGACAGTCAGAAGTGAATCCAAAAAGTTTTTCAAGAAATTTACCAAACGAGAACGTAAACACGGCATGAATACCACTCCGTCACCCACATTTCCCATCTCTCTTTCCAGATCAAGAACAACCTCCTGAAACAAAGCAATGAGTATGAGATCGTGGACTTCATGGTGAACAAGGCAAGAGCTGCTGTCGGTCTGGCGCCCAAGATCAGCTTCGTGGGTCCTTTGAAGGCCACCACGGAGGAGCCAGAGGTGCGGCTTGGGAGGGAAGGGGGAGGAGGGTATATCAGAGAGAAAGTATAAGGGGTACGAGAGAAATAGGGTTTGTGTGTGTGTGTGTGTGTGTGTGTGTGTGTGTGTGTGTGTGTGTGTGTGTGTGTGTGTGTGTGTGTGTGTGTGTGTGTGTGTGTGTGTGTGTGAGTGAGAGAGAGAGAGAGAGAGAGAGAGAGAGAGAGCGAGAGAGTCCCTATAGCACATAACGGTAAGCACTTGCTTCCCTTCTTCAGGAAACACCCAAGCCGACCGAAGAATTTCCAGAGAAAGTGGATCAACTTCTTTCTTACATCAACGACTTCTATTTCGACTCGAGGCTCGATTTCAACAACAAAGAGTGGCTGAAGCAGGTGTCGACGGTGAGTACATCATTTTTGTTCCCAGTCGTGTTTTCTGTCAGGCTTAGGTTTGGTTTGTATTTTAATGATTGTATTATTATTATTATTTTACCAATCTAAGCTGTTTCTTTATTTACCTTTTCATTTTGTTTTTATTTCAGCAAAACCGCGGTCGTGCATCCTCCGGATTCCATCCAGGTTGGCACGGCAAAGGCTCCTCTGCCCGTCAAAGGACGTCGTCAGAGAGAGGAAGCGCCCCGATGTGTCCATCAAACCTCGAGTTGGACGACGTCTAAGCTGAGAACAAGAAATAAAAGGCATCTTCTGCGTCTTCTTCGATATTTTCGGGATCAGCGGCGTGGTCAGAATAAAGAAATATGCGGTGGGTGCTGTAAATTCTCCAGTTGGATATGATTAAAAGAGGAATTTATCATCTAACCTCAAGAGATTTCTTGTGGATGTCCAGCCCTCTTGAACTTCTACTTGTTCTGCAAGAAAAACAAGCACATTGATATCGGACTTGAAGCACGACCACGAGATTCCTGACTGGAAGTACCGCTAAGCTACACCATCGACTAAAGACGTAACTACTTGTTTCCCTGACTGCGGTAGTTCTTCGGAACCTTATTTCCAAATGAAAGAAAAAGGTTTGCAATTACTTTTGTAGGTTACCACATACACGCGAGTTTAGTAGACTCACAAGAGTGAATATATATATTTTCCCCCTTTTCACTGTCTTATTATTTCATTTCTTGTTGGGGTTTTATCCTATAATAATCTTACTTAAATATCAGTTTTCTTCAGACCAACAATGCTTCTTTTCATGATGTAAAACTTGTTCTACTTGTTGGAAAGAGAAGGGATGGCAGCATATTAATGCTTTGTGCAACTTTCATACATAGTTTGATATAATTAATAACAGAACCTTTTATTTGTTTTTGTGTTTTAGAATTACTATTCTTTTATATCTTTTCTTCACCTTTCAGTTGACAAAATGTATTGGCATTTCAGATGTAGCAGATATTGTGATCGGGAGAATGGTATAGTCTGTGACTTCAACTAATATTTAATTTTTACTTAGAAATATATAATGGTAGTTTACTAGTGTCCAGTTTTATGTCTAAATATTCCATTTCTAAATGTGTTGACTTTTAGAAAAGAGAAATGGAAGTTAGACAAAAGTATGATGTGCCTTGATTGTATGATGTGCCTTGATTAAAATGAATACAATTCAACTCAACAATATAAGTGCAAAATAGGTAAGACATATCACCAAATTGAATAAGTTATCTATTAGTGTTCGTGTGAACTAATAAATTATTTATGCAACTAAAGTGTGTTTTAAATCTTCAACCAGAAAAAGGTACAGAAAGTGCAAGCCTCTGGCAATGCCTGAGGGTGTGCAGTGTGCAAAGAGAGAGAGAGAGAGAGAGAGAGAGAGAGAGAGAGAGAGAGAGAAGAGAGAGAGAGAGAGAGAGAGAGGAGAGAGAGAGAGAAGAGAGAGAGAGGAGAGAGAGAGAGAGAGAGAGAGAGAGAGAGAGAGAGAGAGAGAGAGAGAGAGAGGAGAGAGAGAGAGAGAGAGAGAGCTGATATTACTTTCCTCTTCTGTCAGAAAAGTTGCTAAATCTTCAAATAAACTTATTTTGATCTGCCATATCAGTACAATTGGATTATTAAACTCCACACTAACCCCCCTCCCCCCAACATACACACAAATGTATGCAAAGTGCATTACTCCTTTTTTTCATCTTCATCATGATTAACATGGGGGTAAAGTCATAAAAAAGCAAAATTGAAAATCATTGTTATTTTATTAAAAATGTATACTAAAAATTACACCCCACTGGTGCTGTTAGAGTTCCACAGTCTTGGCCTGTGAAGCTGAGGACATCCACTATATAAATATGCAAAACTCTGAATCTCTTCATATCTTCTCAGGTTCAAACCATTTTTATTTCTTCACCAATTGTCATTTTCTTATCTCAGATTTCTAGCTGCAAAAAAATGAATACAGGGACAAATATCTTCAGTGACTCCATAAAAAACATTCAAACTCTTTCTGAAAAAAACTAACATAATTCCACACACAGTAGATTATATGTACTACAAATTAAGTATTGTAAACAAGGTGACTAGTGCTAAGGGAATCCTGTGATAATTCTGATATTTTTGGAGCACATCAACAGTCTTATTATTGCACCTCAAAAACATATCTCTAAAAAATAAATAGTTAATAAATATTTCTGGTTTCCAAATTAGTAGATTAGTATTGCATGAAAAGAAACAAGGATAAATAAACAGATAAATAGTTACCTTTGCTTGAGCTGCTTTTTTTCTCAAGTCACTCTTTATGCACCAGAATTTCTTTATTTATAAGCTCTTTTGCCATCCACTTTCAGAACTGGTATTTATGTAAAGATCTGGCAGCTAACTCGAAACTGATATGAATTTCATTTATCCATTCACAATATATAAAATTTAAAGCATATTCTTTCTATGATATGAGGAATAATAGCTATGAATGCTGTGCGTCTCTCTTAATTATGTATTTCAAATGTACTTGCTCCAGTGCAGTTAAATAGTATTATAAATATTTACTATCCTCACTGAAGATACAGCCTTCAAAGTCATGTATTTAGTGCTTTCATTTTTAAAAACGACTACAACTTTTGGCTACTTTTTAAAATCTTTTATTTTGTCTCTTGGTAAATATTATGAACAATATCTTCGTCAGTATTGATTCTCAAAATGTTTATCAAATGAAGTGTCAGTTATGCAAATAAAAAATCTCTTTCAAAAAGAAAGGAAAAAAATGAGGCTCTGCACCTCCTTACTAATAATTATAATAATGGCAACAAAAACCATGGCATCAGCAGACCGAAACAGATGGGCTTCCTCGACAAAATTACAGTCATTTAGAATCATCCATTTTTAAACCATATAACCAAAGATCAGTATTATCAAAGAATTACTGGAATTCATCTGATTTCCATTAAATTTACTGTGTCAAAAAACATATGCAGGCCATAAAAAAAGAAAAAGAAAAACAAAAAAAAAACATACTAATGACTGACTTTATTTTGTTATCAAATTTTGGGACGTGGCCATGAGAGCAAATGGCAAATGTTCCAATTTCCTATAAATTACTGAGACAATGTAAAAATGTGACTAATGGTGAAAAAGTATTTATACTATTTACAGACCAGTTTCTAAAATTTATTTTGTAAAAAGAGAAAATTCTACCCTTGATAAATCACACAATTTTTTGTTAAAATTTTATATAAAGTTCAAAGTTATATCTTTTTCATAACAAGAGCTCAACAGCTGCATGTTAACTCACTGATAACATCAATTTACAATCATAAACTTGTAGGCCCCTGTCAATCACTTACTATATTACATAGCATAACAATTTCTAAAACATATTCCCCATCAGTCGTGTTAATTTGTCTAAGCTGCAATTTAGCCGCCCACAAACCATAACACAGCACAAACAAACTGCACCACATAGTATGCAAAGTTTTAAAATAATGACTGTCTGATTCGTAAGCTGCTTAAAACAATTTAAATTAAATACAAAACTCATACAAATGCTCAACAAAAAAGTATCAAAGTGACTTTCCAAAAAAACTTATTGAAAGTATTTGACTTTAAGAAAGTACTCTTAACCTAGAAGTGGATAATTTCTTCAATAAAACATATATCTGCTAACATCAATAGGTTCAATGCAATTACAATGAAGATAAAATCACATATTTATCTCTTTAAACAACACAAAAAAGTAAAATGTGATAAAACAGGATCTCTTGTCAAAAATAAACACAAAAATATAAATATTCTAAAAAGGAATTAAAAATGTTGTAAAATTTCTCTCTCAACAGCAGTCTTTACTATCTCACATAGGACTAAACATTTAAACACAGGTCCTCCATGCTGAGATCTGTGTGCATGCCTAGGCAGTGACATACTGGTCATTTGGGGGGACCACCAAAGAGAATTTCAGTACACCCAGATGAAATGTGAAGAACATAAATATTGTCTAGTGGGAATCAGCAAGGTACTTTATTACTATTATTGTGTATTTGTAACTGAAGGAAAGAAGTAGATACATCCACAGAAAGTCAACGTTTTAACTAACAGTAGTAAAATATTTCACCGATAACAAGCACGCACTGAATGCACATCTTGATTATAAAAGTGCTTCTTCTCCAAACTGCCTGCCTGGAATGGCATTCTTCATGCCTTTTATATAATAATAAGGCACATAAGAGGTCAGATGGCCTGTGGGGCACAGTGAAATAGGGAGGTTCTCTTTTAGCTAATCTATAATGTGACTTAATAGCTTGATTTTCCTGAACCATCTGCTGTACATCTTAAAAGTTACTGCACCTTTTTGGATTTAATCAATTATAGAAAAATATTAATGACAACACACTCCAGAGAACCACTTCAATGTTGTTTATCTTGAAGAAAAGTGTGTCCCGGCCAATACTTTAGCATTCAGGCACTAGGCATAGGCAAAGGTACGAGCTGCAGGCAGATCGAGGAATGGTGAGGGAAGCCAAGCTGCCAGCGCTTGCTCTCCTCTAGACCTTCGTGATGCGACCAATCAACGGTGGCGCGGATGATCTGTGAAGTCGCTGTGATGGGAGAGCAATGCGTTAGCTTCGAGCCAATCAGAGCTTTTTTCTAAATTTTTCTCAAATGAAGATAACCAATATTAATTCATATTTTTTTTTCTTTTTTTAATTCACACTAGTTTTAAAAACATATTATACCCCATTCCTTTGCATAATAAAAGCAAAAAATATGTAAGAAAAAAAAATCTACTTAAACCCCTTCTCTATAAAAGGCTTTCTAAACACTTAAAAACCTAAGTAAATGACATTCAAAAATAAAAATGAAACTTGGCAAAATAAAAATCTATACCTAGGCACTCTGCTCTAAAAGTACTGCAAACAAGATACTCGTAGAGAGACACTACAACTCACCTCAGCAAAGTCTGCCATCACCATTGGTCTGCAGGAAGCAGTGGCACGGGAGAGAGAAAATGGTTAACCACACGTGAAAGCTGAGAGCCATAACACATTACACACATGGACAAAACTTTTCGCATGACTGACGAAAACAAATAAAAACGTGCCTGATGCATGTCTCTGCTGCACCCAAGGAAATGAAATCTTACTACATGGTAAATGTGAATTCAACATTCCTTTGTTTTTCATGCAAGGCAACAATAAAGTAATTTACATGGACATGAATACAAAACAAATACTGTGCTATATGTAACAGGTGCTTGAAATCAATGTAAAACTTGTCATGCAATACACCAGAGACTTTGACAATAGTTATGCAATATAAAAAATTTAGATTATTTTTTAAAAATTACTATCTACATATAAATAATATATTTAAACTAATATTTTATCATTCTCAGCATTTTTAATCATCACTCTAAAAGTACGACCTCAGTAAAACAGATAAATTCAGACATATTTGAGATTATCAAGCATTTCAAAGCGTTACTTAGACCTGCCGATGTGAAATAGTTAAGGAGGCTTTACAAAACAAACTCAAAAGATACAGGACGTTATGTCTAACAAAGCCAAAGTTCACATGACCTAAATGCCATTCTATATAAAGCAAATCAATAAAAAGTCAAAAGGCCAATCTTCAGATCATATTTAAATATTCTCAAACCTCCTTTCCTTCAAGTATTATGATTTCTCACTGTGTATTAGTTTATTTGTTTGTTTACACTATACTTATTACAAGTTAATGAAGCATGTACTGTGAATACATTGCATATTCTTTATTACACTGTTTTACCAAGGCCTCTGTAAATTAGACTAACTACAGTCTACTTGACATGAAGATGTGTAATGCCTAAATGTATGTTTGTGAAGTCTAATAAACATAAAATATTTAAATCTCTATCATAATTGATATTTACTGAACACAAAAGAAAAAAAAGAACATTAACTAATGCATTACATATCTTATCATGCAGCTTAAAAATAAAAGCGAACTACTATAACTATCAAATGTAAGTACATTCCATAGGAAATCCTTTACGTGCTTTAACTTTTTCTAGTGATACTGAATGATAGAATTAGCAATAGATTAATTTCGATAAATACTAAAAAGTGTAAGTTCTACTAACTAAGGGATAAAATGAAGATGATTTACTTTGCACATAAAAAATAAAATACTCATATATGTGTAGAAATCCATGCTAATCTTTTAAAAGAGTCAAACCTGTTCATTATGCTTGTTATCCACTGCCCACTGTACAATAACTTTCATACTACTTATTACTGATGAAAAAACTACTGCTAAATTGTCCTCATTTTGATAAGTCTGCACCATATTTTTTGTCCGATAACCAAAGAATTTCCATTTTTTAAAATCTAAATACTAAAAACCAGTTCATCTGTTGGTCAGAAAATCTAATAACTTATAAAAATAATTTACAAATATTATACACCTAAAGTTCTTCCCATCCTCAATTATTCTTTTATTTGCAGTTAAATTCACAAGACATTCCAAAACTTACAGCCATAACATTAAAGTTATTCCTTATTACTCATGCGACTCACTATAAACTTGATAAACCTTGTCTGTAAGAAACTAAGCTACTCATATAGACCAAAAATGATTAAAGGGCTGAGCTGGAGTAAAAACAAACAAACGTCATATTCAAGTATCTTTACATAATTGAGTAAGTCAAAAAAATTCCTTCACCAATCCCAGTTTTATTTCCCTGCACCTGTTATTCCTCAAATAAGCCACTCATGGCACTGTGTAAATGCTCATCCTTTTAAAACCATGTCGTTCTTACCTCTTCCACCTTTTCCATGCTTTTTATCTTCTCCACCTTCTCCACCTCTAGAGATTTTATCTTCTCCACCACTTCCCAAGTCCTCACCTCCTTTTCCTTGTCCTGTAGAGCACCTACAGGGGGCTTCTCGTCAAGTGGACATAACAGGTCGTCAAATTCTAGTTCTGATTTGGACTTTTTGCGCTTTAGAGAGAACTGTGATTTCTTTGGCATCTGAAAAACGTTCAACATAAAATTGTACTTATTTCTTCCAAGAAAATAAACCAAACAAGCTATCATTTGAATATGCAAATATAAGTACAACATGCTACCTATGGGCTTCCAATATAAGTTTAATACAACCTTGACTTTAGCAGAGGTGGTAAGAGGAGTGTACCCTGAAGAAGCCTCCAACTCCCTCTTCTCTTGTACGATGGACGCACCAACCAACTCTTTGAAGTGTGTGTTCAAGTGTCGTCTCAAGAGGGTTTTTCCAGATGGGATGGAAAGCAGAGATGCCAAGAGCTCGGAGGTGAAACGTATTTCATATACCATTAATGCTCCATGAACACCTATGTGAGAACAAGAACAATGCTATCAATGAGTTTATTATGAGACCAAAATTATTCTTCCCAAAATTTCCCAATAAATTGGTTACTTCAAAGAAATGTCTACAGACAAATTACGCACCTGACCCTCTAAGATTGGGGGCATACTCTGAGAGGTCAACAGTTCGCAGCCATTCCATGACACGGTGATTAGTCCACAGTGCCACTTCTGCTGGTGTTCTTGATCTCTGATCCTCTTCTGGTACTGAACGGCGCTTCAGCACAGTGGGATCAAAGTTGTGTTCTCGCAAGACCTGGAATGAGAAGACCAATTTTGGAGCTCCGGCCTGGTGAACAGCATCTCTTCAAAATCACTGTTTTCAAAATTAAGGACATACTGAGGATTGTAGCATTTACAGCAACTAACCTGAATACCACGCTTCAATGAGGTAACATGTAGTAGATTTGTAAATCTTAGGAAGGCTAAATCATCATAGGTTAGGCAGTTGAGCACTCTCCCGTCAATACGTGCTTCACTAAAAGCGTCTTTATACTGTGGCAAACCCACATCATCCAGCCACCGTAACACCCAAGCATGATCCAAACGGGCTAATGGCGTGTTAAGTTGGTTTCCAGACAATCTCGCCGCGATTGCCAACTGAAGTTTCTTTCTATGCAATGGATGACGGAGTCCTAGCTCTCTCTCCAGCTGTTGAGGTGTTACTTGTGACAAATGGTGACCATTTTCCGTCCAGCAGCGAACGGCAGCGCAATACTGACTCAAACCCAAACCTCCAAGCCATGCCTCCATTGTTTCAGTGCTCCAGCTGGTGAAAGGTTCACCTGGCCTGAAAGGATACGAAGGAGGTGGATGACAGCACTGTTCTGTATGTTCACCAATCAATAATTTTATGAATAAGAATAACTACTCTATATCTGTGGCTTAATAGGGTTCAGTGGGAGAAGGAATAATAGTAAAAGTTCATGAACCTCCTCCAGTGTGTTGTGCAAACTTAATGTCTCCCATATATTGCCAAGGAATATTGTATCTGGTTACTGAAAATGCTCAGATTATGTAATAAAACTGCAAATAGAAAAATGGAGAAAAAAAAAAAATCAACATTCTACTTGAATACTCAGATATATTTCATAAATATTTTAATTATGTTAATACATACTCTTTGAAAGTAGTTGTGGGTGAGGTCCAGCCAAGGCGTGCAGATGCTGTAGCCCTCATTCCACCTCGCCTGAAGTCCCCATCACCAAGATCACTGTCCAGATGGCCAGAACTGCTACGGCGGAGCCTGCAAAAAGAAACAAAGACAAATAAATAATACTATTCCCATGGAAAGATTGGATAATCTTTTTATTATACAACTAACATAAGCATTTAATATACAAATTACAGCAACTAGCAAAAAGTTCAATGAAATGCATCCAACGTGAAAATGGCCTTTCCATTTCACATAAGCAGGCATGTATCACATTGACATCACTTCTCGTTTATTCCCTGTTATTAGCGTAGTGTCCATTCAGGCAAATTTCAAACAATGCCTGACACAGACACAGCACTGCATCTACATATTAAAACGTGCACACTGATTGGGTTGGGCAAAATGCTTGAACAATCTTCTCAAAATAACTGACATACAAAAACAAAGATAAATAATATTCAATCTATGAATTCTAGTTTTCCTTTTTCCTTGTAAGACCTGCCCATTCCTCCAACTACTCAGTTAACACTGCACCTCCTTGGGTCCCCACTAATACCCCTGCCAGCTTCCCTCTTAAGCAGTGCCAAAGAGATAATCAAAATACAAACATACACACACACACACACAAATACCAACTGATTTTCATATAATACTGACTCTGTAATCAAAATAAAACACATACACACAGACACACAAATACCAACTGATTTTCATACAATACTCACTCCGTAATCAAAATAAAAACACGTACACAAAGATATTCACTGATTTATTACATAATACTCACTTTGTAAATATCTTTTTGATGCCGGTTGCCTTGGGATGCATTGGCGGGGACCTGTGACCAACAAGCGTATTGACCCTGGGCGTTGACGATGCTGGGACCATCATGCCGTCTGTTGGGTGCCCGTACTCTCCCTCTGGCAGGTCGTCAATCATCTGCATTTCTGTTTCCGCTGCGTAAGTAATGATACCATTGAAATCTAACTGCCCAAATAAACATCATAATCTAACTGCTTAAATTTTCATCTCTTTTATATATATATATATTTTTTTTTCATTACAATTACAATTAAAACACACTAAAAATATGTAATTCTCTATTGTTTGTATTGTTAAAATACTGAAGCTTCTATGTTTTTCATTATAATATGCAATTTTGAGTCAGAAATATAATTTTTACAAATTTCTTACTTAAACAAAAATTGGATAACCTCTAAATCATAGCAACCTATATCATTTCTATATTGAACAAGGTACCAAACTACAAAAAAATGTAATGCATAAAATAATAAATAAATTAAAATACAATTAAAATCTAAGCAAAATATATGCAACCAACATGCAATGAATCAGAAAATATGGAAGCTAAGACAAAAAAATATAAGGAATTGAAATATGTTATATCAGTATGTAACAACTATCTCCGAGATATATTTTACATAACAATAGCTTGGAAAATAAGTTCTGCCGTTGATGCAAAAATAACTCGTCATACGTAGCCAAAAAAATGTACCTGTATCGTGGCATTTTCTTGCTATTTGCTCTCTGTATGCAAATTATCCTATCAGCATGCAACTAAGCAAAATACAAAAGCAATATATCAGGCAGCCTAATTCAAAATCCAACAGAAAAAAAAAAAAAAAAAAAAAAAAAAAAAAAAAACATATATAGCAAGTACGTGATATTACTGAAAACTGCCGAAGAGCAGATTAAAACTACTGTGTAAAAAAAAAAAAAACTTGATTGAAATAAGCCTTTGCAAACTCATTCAGCAAAGGTGCATTTCCTCTCAAGTCAGTATTTCTAGCCAAAGCTTTGTTAAACTCAAATCTCGTCTGACAGTAAACGATGCCCATCTTGATATATTTTTAAATTTTTTGATTACAAATCATAAAAAGAAAAATTAATAAATAAATGATAATAATAATGATAATAATAACAAAGATATGAAGAATAATGACAATACTAATAATACTAATGATAACAATAATCATAATAACAAAAATGATGCTACACGTATGTAACTGTATACTGAATTACCACATATGCATACATATACACTGCATACATATATATACATAAATGTACGTATATAAATTCAAGATGTAAACGACAACCCATGACAAGCGTGAGCCAATACTCAGGAAAACACAAAGTGATGGGCCGAACGTGGGCAACACAGGATACGCAACTCAGGTGGCCTGACGCGATTCAGTCATGACAACAATCCTGCCAACTGAAGATATTCTAGAGAAGGGGGTTAAAATCAATTGAGAAGGAAGTGAAAATATTAATGTAACTTGTTTCGAGCTTGTTACTTCTCATGCTCAGACAGTGAAAGCATAAACATGAATCTTATATTTACAATTACTATTCATGATGCACGTAACTTCAAATTACTTTTATGACTATTTCGGGGCCATCTGCAGACAGTACATGCATAACTGATTTGCAGCTCAGTCTGACAAAACCTTAAACACTAAGATAATCTAAATATTGTAAAATGGCTTGAAGTTAGCAATGAGAACTAAGTGGAAATGCTTTACCAAAAAGGCACAATGTAATTTCCCTCTTCTAATAAGAAAATAAACTAAATAGCAATTATTTCTAAGTTTCTACCAGCAAAGCATCTTCAATAAACTTTATCAATGGTTTTGCTAAAGGCAACCTGAAATAAGATTTTGTTACAAATCAGAATAACTCTTCCTATTTCACAAGCTATTAATAAGAGTTTGATATCCTCCATGATTTTCCAGATAGACAAGCAAGACCTACTCATAAAAGATCAAGCATGGACTGGCTATTTCACTAAGATTATTCATCCAAATGAATTCCTGAAGGACCTACTAAGCCTTTTATCAGATACTCGGCAATTTCTCTAAAGGCTCAAATGATATTCAAATATTCTGGGGGGGAAAATATACTGGTTGGGAATATGTGAAAAATATTAAATAACTGACTTGAATTTCAATTATGATAATGCACATACCATGTTACCTACTTTTTGAAACCTTGTGCAAATAAAAGCATTCCCAATTAGCAACTGAGAGTCAATCAACATTTGAGTAAATTTAGAACATTAAAATAATTCTCTACAAAAAAAAAAGTTTTGCCAGCAGAGCCTGGGTAAAATTGATGGTACAGAAATAATGGAACATCTTTTATGGTATATTTCAGTATCTGTTTACATAAACATAAATTTAAGTATGAAATAATCAAGGAGAAGAAGGTATTTATATGAACAGCTGAGCTTAACTGATGTTTTCACACCAGTATTATATAAAACTGAAGTTATTTGTTATCCAATTACAATAATAAGAAAAAAATCCTATAATCTTTAAATATAATCAGTCTTTTTTACATGTGTATTTCAATAGTAATGTATAATTCTCAAGTACTCACAAATTCAAGTAACTTCTCAAACAAAGCTTTAAAAGAATTCTCCCTCAAAAAGTGTCATCAAGCTAAATACTCATTGAATCACCCTATAAGAAATGTTTACCATCAATTTTCAACCCATTCATAAGATGGCCCTCATGAGAACAAATTGGAGGGGGGGGGCAGATAGGGGGAGGGGGTTGCAGGTTTGTACTCATGCATGAACACCACCGTCACCTAAGTTGGGGGCTGAAGTGCTCCGCTTTCCCGCCACACGGAATGGAAGGAAGTGGAAGCCTTTACCGAACATGACTCCCTTGGATCGCCCTGTGGTTGCTGAGCCGTGGTTGGCCTCTCCGCCTATGATAATATCTCGCTGTCGAGGCATGGTTCCAAACTGGTCGATTTTCCGTCGAGCATTTGGAGGGGGAGTCTGTTAAATATAAATAAGGCAAATTAATTCATCTGTTATTTTCCTGCTTTATATAATCTTGAGCTTCATATTTCAAGAAGGTGAAATTAGTATATAATCATATAGATATACATTTGTTTAAAAAGTGCTTTTACTTAAATCAATACATGTTGCAGTAAAAGTAAATCATGAACTAAATTTCTAGCTTTGACATTTTCCATTGACCTTTCTTCATGCTTGAAAGTGATTTACACCAAAACTTATGGATTAGCTTCCCATTTCTCTAAAGCAGGCAGTCTTTATATTCCTTATTATTTAATATTTATTTAACAATGTATCAAATATATCATACAGTGAAGAAAAAAAGAGGCATCGGCATTCAGTAAATCCCTAGATGAAGGCTAAAGCATAGAAAGAGATATCAAATAAGAAAAAATAAATCAAATACTTACTTGTAGTAAGTGCTACACTGGCCATATACTACTAGCTATATACACATGTGAAATTGAAATATGTACATTATATGAACTATATGTTGGGAAGAGGAAATCTTACAAAAAATGTCATATAACTCCATTATTCATAAACAATGAATATACTGTAAATAATATTCACGGTTAAGGTAAACATAATAGGCTATACTAGATGCCAGGGAACTTCTTAACCTGTCGTAAATTGTTAAATAAAATCTACATACAGCTAGACTTGTCTGTACTGTACTGCTTTTAAAATTGTCATTACAATGAATGATATATAATTGATAAATATCCATATATTCTCCTACTTTAGTTTCAATTATGAACTTTGAAACAATGAATCTATAAAATCCATACACCTAAAAAGAGCAAATAATTGTAACTTTTCTCCCCACATGTAAAAAACCAACATTCTCAAACATAAAGGTGCAAAACACGCTCAAACCCGTCAAGCTGTACGCCCACAAAACTAATGTCACCGGGCTGATACTTACCTTACTCACCCTCGGAGGCAAGAATTCCCGCGCATCATGGGACGCGACCGGCGAGGAGGCAGGCGACACAGTGGGAGGCTGAGCAGGAGACTTGTTAGGCGAGGAAGCCGGAATGGTGGAGAGGGTAGAGATGCTACTCGGAGATGGGGAGTTAGCCAACTGAGCTGCAAGCTGAAGTCACGTCTTTGGTTAGTAGCCCGACGGGGAACGGGGACGGCATGCCCATGACATCTTTACTTTAAAAGCACGTGTATATTACAACACTAAAGAGAGACGACCTCTCGCATGTCATCCTTTCTGAAGCACATGGACATAAAAATACTTGAGTGCACTGAATCATGTACATAGCATACTTCATAACATCAGATCTGGGAACACTTTAAGCACAGAATATTTACACTTGCTTGAAGGAATAAAAGACTCAAAAAGATGATGGAGAAAGTCAGTAGGAAAAAGAAGAGGAGCATCAGTAAGAGGAAGAAGAGAATACAAAGGAAGGAAAAAAAAAATGAAGAGGGTGATAGAGTCAAGTGTATAAGAATCAGAGAAAATGACAATAATAAGAAAGAAGAAAACAGACGAACGAAGAGGAAGGTGAATCATGATATTTTCAACAAGAATCAAAATTTTTTATATTACGAACAGTCAAGAGGAATCAAGTCATTAAGTCTTAAAAGTCCAGAAAAATGTATTTGGAAGTTAATCAGAACTATGAAGTGACAAATATACTTTACATATATCAAGCACCAGCTAAATTGTCATAAGTAAAAGAAAAACTTCTTTTCAACTTTATATTAATGCAAATAAAATATGGTACTCGTCCATGCAAAGATTTCTTTAGATCAAACAGATGCAGCTGACACGTAAGCTCAATTTAAATACAACAAGAATCTGGGGAAGATTATTCATTACAATTACGAGGAGAGATACTCGTTAGTCGTTGGGTACTGTGAGTCATACTACCTGATGGCTAGGCTGAGGTGAGTCTGGGGTGACCAGGAAGGAGTGGATGGGAGTGGACGCAGCCGTTGGGGTTATCCTCCCACTACCAGAACGCCCGACACCACACAATACCGGCTGACCACACCACAACAAAATATGATAGGACACACAACACACATAACATGCTTGCATTGCTTGCGTTAAACATCTACAGTGTTTTTTTTCTTTGTACGTAAAATGTGGGAATGGTGACAAACACAGGGAAAAAGTAAATGAATAAAGCTATGGGTACAAACAAAATAAAAACAGAACAAAAATGTGTGTGCTTGTGTGTGTATGTGTTAGTGTGTGTGTATGTTTGAAAGTGCATGTGTATGTTTGCGAGTGCATGTGTGTGTGAGTGTATGTGTATGTGTGTGTATGAAAGTAACTGTATAAATGTATGTGTATGAATGTTTGTGTGAGTCTGAGTGAGCACACATGTTTGACTGTGTGCATGTCTGTATGTATGAATGTATAAGTGTGTGCATGAGTTAGTGTGAGTTTGCATGTGTGTGTGTGTCTGTACTTGACAGTTTATTAAGTAATCACTATGAACGTAACAAAATACAAACATAAAACCTGGGATCCTCACCAGAATACAGTTAGATATAAACACTACATTAATAAAAATTAACTGAAAAAAAATGGACAAAACAAAACAAAAAAAACAAAAACAAAAACAACAGTAAGTACACTAAACTAAAGAGAAATATTTAACAAAACTTGACAACAAAAACAAAACAAAAAAACGAGGACTGACTCGACATACTACAGTGCCAACCATGCAGACACGCTGCTCACACAAATACACCCATTGGTCTATTTCAAAGGGTTCACAAGGTTATATATACAAAAAAACAGAAACAAAAACAAAATAAAAACAAAAAACAGAAACAAAAATATCACTTTTGTTGCCTACATAAATCAATTCTAGAATTTACAAACCAAAAACAAAAATAAATGACAGCAAAATCCTTATCCAACAAAAAAACGAAAGTAAATAAATAAACAAATAAAAAACAATCCTCTTCAATGAGTGCAATACTACAAGCAACAAAAAAAAAAACAAAAACAAATACTATAAAAAAAAAATCTTAACCTAACCAAATTTCCAACCAAAACCGCTCTTTCCACCAACCTGTGCCTTGGCGTGGTCCGACTGGTGGTCCGACCTGCGAATCTTATCCCGCAGGTCTGCATTTTCCCTCTCGAAGGCCGCCTGACGCAGCTTCAGGTTGCTGATCTCGCTGAAGAGCTCTAGCCGCTGCGTCTCCAGGCTGGTTCTCGTCATCACCTCCTGCAGGAGAGAGTGAGAGTATGAGAGAGAGGGTGGAGGGAGAGGGAGGGGAGAGGGAGAGAGAGGGTGGAGAGAGGGAGAGAGAGGGTGGAAGGGAGAGAGAGAGGGTGGGAAGGGAGAGGGAGAGGGAGAGAGAGGGAGAGGGAGAGGGAGAGGGAAGAGGGAGAGGGAGGAGGGAAAGGGAAAGGGAAGGGAGAGGGAGAGGGAAAGGGAGGGGGAGGGAAAGGGAGGGGAGAGAGAGAGGAGAGGGGGAGGGAGAGGGAGGGAAGAGGCAGGAAGGGAGGAAGGGAAGGGGAGAGAGAGAGGAAAGAGAGAGAGAGAGAGAGAGAGAGAGAGAGAGAGAGAGAGAGAGAGAGGAGAGAGAGAGAGAGAGAGAGAGAGAGAGAAGAGAGGAGAGGGAGGGGAGGGAGGGAGGGGAGGGGGAGGGGAGGGGAGGGAGGGGGAGGGGAGGGGAGGGGAGAGGAGAGGAGAGGAGAGGAGAGGAAGGAGAGGAGAGGAGAGGAGAGGGAAGAGAGGAGGGGAGGGGGGGAGGGGAAGGGGGGGAGGGAGGGGGGAGAGAGAGAGAGAGAGAAGAGAGGAGAGAGAGAAGAGAGAAGAGAGAAAGAGAGAAGAGAAGAGAAGAGAGAAGAGAAGAAGAAGAAGAGAAGAAGAGAGAAGAGAAGAGAGAAGAGAAGAAGAGAAGAAGAAGAGAGAGAGAAAGAGAAGAGAGAGAGAAGAGAAGAAGAGAAGAGAAGAAAGAAGAGAAGAGAAGGAGAAGAAGAAGAGAAAAGAAGAGAAGAGAAGAGAAGAGAGAAGAGAAGAGAAGAGAAAGAGAGAAGAGAGAAGAGAAGAGAGAGAGAGAAGAGAGAGAGAAGAGAGAGCAGAAGCAGAGAAGAGAAGAGAAGAGAAGAGAAGAGAAGAGAAGAGAAAGCAGAGCAAGCAGAGCAGAGCAGAGAAGAGATGAGAAGAGAAGAGAGAAAGAGAGAAAGAGAGACAGATAGACAGATAGATAGAGAGAACATTAAAAGAAGTGGAGTGTAAGGTGAAGAGGGAAGGTGGTGGATGCTTTCAATGGATGTGGATGTGACTGACTGACTGGCTGTCTAATCACCTGATTGACTGGTTAGTGGATTTGACTGATAGATTGTTTTGCTAATTGGTTAGTTGCCGGAAGACTGACTTAAGGTATATCTCCTTTCTCGAAAATCCATGTTTGCGTAGTGTTATTTCTGTTCAAATCATGTTGGTCTACCTTACACAAGCACCTTCCCAGCGTTAACTACACAACCTGAACAGGAATTTCAATAATCTGCTTAGTCCCCCGCCCCCCCCCCCCCCCCACCCCCCCTCTCCCAGTTGCTGAAGAAAATTAAGAACATCTACAGCAATATATTTCGCAAGATTGCCTCACAAAAGGGTCTTATGAAGTTCCTTTATTCTAATGGCGTATAGAGGTCCTCTTCTCTTCCTTCTCTTTTTCTCTCCCTCTCCTCCTTCTCTTTCTTTTTTCTTTCCCTCTCTCTTTCTCTTTTAACCCCCTCCTCTTTCTCTTTCTCTTCTCCCCTCTCTTTCTTCTTTCTCTCTCCCTCTATCTTTCCACTTTCTCTCTATCTCTCTTCTTTTTTTTTTTTTTTTTTTTCTTTCTCTTTCCCTCTCCCTCTTTCTCTNTTATATATAATATTAAGTATATATATATAGTAGACAGTAGTATATAAGAGAATAGGTGAGTAATATGAGATATAGAGTAGAATGAGATAAGTAGATGATAGAGTAATATGTAGAGAAGAGAAGATGATATACGTAAGTAAAGCATAACAGATAACAGTACATACATACAAGGTAACAATAGAGAGTGATATATATATAGTAAGTAATATAAATATATATAGTAAATTATATAGTGATAATGACTAAAGTAGCATACATATATATAATATAGCATAACATAAGGTATATACAGTAACATAACATACAGTAGATAATACATACATACATATGTAATAGTATATATAGTATACTATAATAGATATAAATATATAGTATATAGTATAGATATATGATATAAATATAAGTAAGTGATATATAATAATATAAGTAATAAGAGAGAAGAGAGAGAAGAGGAGAGAGAGAGAGAGAGAGAGAGAGAGAGAGAGAGAGAGAGAGAGAGAGAGAGGAGAGAAGAGGAGAAGAGAGAAAGGGAAAAGAGAGAGAAGAGAAGAAGAGAGAAGAGAGAGAAAAGAGAGGAAGAGAAGGAGAGAGGAGAAGGAAGGAGAAGAGAAGAAGAAGAGAAGGAGAAGAGGAAGAGAAGAGGAAAGAGAGAGAAGGAGAAGAGAAGAGAAAGAGAAGAGAAAGAGAAGAGGAAGAGAAGAAGAAGAAGAAGAGAGAGGAGAGAAAGAGAAGAGAAGAGAGAGGAGAAGAAGAGAAGAGAAGAAGAGAAGAGAAGAGGAAGAGGAGAAGGAGGTAAAGGAGAAGAGGAGAGAGAGGGGGGAAGAGGAAGAGCAAGAAGAAGAGGAGAAGAGAAAGAAGAGAAGAGAAGGAGAAAGAGAAGACGAGAGAAGAAGGAAGAGAGGAGAAAAGGGAAGAGAAGAGAAAGAGAAAAGGAGAAGAGAGAGGAGGAAGAGGAGAGAGAGAAGAGAAAGAGAGAAGAGAAGAGAAGGAGAAGAGAAGAGAAGAGAAGGGAGGGAGGAGAGGAGGAGATGAAGAGAGAGAGAGGAAGGGGAAGGAGGAGAGAAGGGGCGAGCAGAGGAGAAGAGGAAGAGAGGGAGAGAGGAGAGTGAGAGGAGAAGAATGATAAGGAATAGAAAGGAATGAGATAGAGGAGAGAGAAAAGAGAAGAGAGAAGAGAGGAAAGAGCATTGTGGACAGAGAAGAGGGAAGAGACGGATAGACTAGAGCAATGATAGCGTATAAGAGAAGAGAGAGAAGAAGCGGAAGGGAAGTTACAGACGAATGAACGAGAAGACAGGAGATAAGAAGGAAGAGAAGAGAAGAGAAGAGAGAGAGAACAGGACAAGAGAGATCAGAGAGATCGCACGAGAGAGAATTTTGGGATACTATGTGGGTAGATGTGACTGAATCACTATTCGTTCACATAGTTATAGGAGGGGCCGAAAGGAGGATGATGAATGTGAAGGATTATTAGTTTTATACGAGTAGTTAAGAATGGCATTTGATTTTAAGCACGCTAGGCTTAGGGGGCATAACAGGTCACTTTTATGGGTTGATATCATGGTGATCTGGCTGCTTGGGGAGGAGGACAGAAGAGACGTGAGCAGCAGAGGAGAAATTAGTATTCCAGTAGTCAGTGAGGCTAAGTAGAATAGGAAGGAGGACAGAAAGAAGCAAGATGACGAGGCTAACTAGGGAAAGAGAGAAAAAAAAAAGAATAAGGAAGAAAGAATGCAGAAAAGAAAGATAGAAATCTAATTTAAATATAATAAAAGAAAATGAAGAGACTGAGGAGGAGGCGTGATAGGGGAACATGGAAAGTGAGATTTTTGAGGGCTCAGGTAAGAGAGTAAAAAAAGAATTAAGAAACATCAAAAAGGATATTTTATTATATATAAAAAAAGGAAAAAGAGGTAATATACGGGACGAAGTCATTAGCAAAAGAATAAGGTTAATATAGCAAACTATGGAGATATATCATTATGTAACAAAGCAGAGGATACAAGATAAATATGTTAAAAGGATCTAGAAGAGAGAAGTTGACAGGAGATGGTATAAAATAGCGGATAAGACATATAAAGGGAGGAGTCTGAAGGGAGAAATAAAAATAGGAAAGTTGATATCAAGTAAGAATGGAGAGTAAGGAAAAGAGACAAATCCTGGATGATGAAAATAGGAGCATAAATAAGGGCATGGAGGGAAATGAAAAGAGATGAAAAAAATAGGCAAAAGGAAAATAGGCAATGAAATAGGAAATGACAATGGAGATGAAAATAGGAAAAAGGAAAATCGAAGATGGAAATAGGAAAGGAAAATAGCAACAGAAGGAGGCGACATGAAAAGATGGAGTGGAAAAAAAACGGAGATGAAGCAAGCGTAAAAAGCGGAAAGATAAGCAACATGGGAAGAAGCACAACTATACTATTTCTCATCTTTCTGTCATCCAGCGTAAAACAGATGAACAAAGAGTATAGAAACGAGAATAAGAAGAGAAAGACAGCTCAGAAAAAAGGTAGATTAAAATAGGAAAGATGAAGTACAGCTTATTCTTTCTCTCTTTTTAGAACATTTTCTCTTTTTGTTTCATTCTAAACATCTCTATGTTCATTACTATTAGCTTTCAGATATTTTTACTCAGCCTATTTTATAAGACTCATTAACTGAGATAACTTTCGACTCTCTCTCAGTTATAAATCTCCAAGAACATCCTGGCTCCATGCACTAATCATTCTATCGAATACGAGATTTGTATTCTATTCACTCTTATTTTCTATCTATCATCATACAGTCGACTTTATCGATATTCATTCTGTCTTTTCTTCTTTCTAAGACTGCCGCGTTTATGATTCCTCTCTCCGTCGAGTCCCCGCCGGTCGTCTCCCCTCGCCCTCCCTCCTCCCGATCTCTTTTCAGTCTCTCCCCCTCTCCGCTCCCTTTCATCTCAGCTTCTCTCCATCCCTCCCTCTCCCCGTCCCTTTCTCTTTTTCCATCCCCTCCGTCCCCTTCTTCTCCCCTCTCCATCCCACCCTACCCCCATTTCCCCATCTCCATTCTCCTATCATCCATCTCCTTCCTTCTTTCCTCCTCTTATCTCTCCTCACCCGGGAGAACTGCGCCTTATGATTATCATGCCAGTCGTCCCACTCCCGCGTCTCTCCCCGCCCCCGCCTCTCTCGATCCTTCTCATCTCTCTCCCTCCTCCTGCCCTTCTCCCTTTCTCCATTCGTTCTTCCCTCCCTCTCTCGTCCTTCTATTCCCTTCCACTCTCTCTATAACTTCACCAGAAAACGGCGCCTCATAATGCATTCCTGCTCTCGTCCCATCCCCGCGGTGTCTCCTCCGTTCTCTGCTTCCTC